AGGAAAACTAATTGAGGTACATGAGATGTTGAAGTGGATTGTCAAAGTTGCATAGAGAGGATGGTCCCTCATGTGGGTCAATCTAGAACAAGAAGTCATTGTTTTAAGATAAGAGTAGCAGATTTAAAATAGAGATGAGGAAAAATGACTTTTCTCAAAGGGTTGTGAATCTGTGGAATTCACTGTCTCAGGGTATAGTGGACGCCAGGATATTGAGCAAATTTAAGAAGGAAATGGACAGATTTGTAATTAGTGACGAGTTGAAGGGATATGGTGAGCAGGGAGGAAAATGCCAAGGTGAGATCAGCCACGATCATATTGAATGGTGGAGCAAGCTCAAAAAGCTGAATTGTCTACTCCTGTTCCTAGCTCTTATGTTCTTCTATTGGTCTTCAAGGCCCTGCAGTTTCAATTTGCAAGGATGATACCTGCATTCTGAAGTTTAAATTTGAAAATGAGATTGCACAAACTAGGGTCGTATCCCCTGGAATTTGAAATACTAAGAGGTCATAGTCATAGAGATGTACAGCCCAGGAAACAGATCTTTCAGTCCAACTCATCTATGCCGACCAAATATCCTAGATAAATCTGGTCCCAATAGCCAGTATTTGGCCCATACCCCTCTAAACTCTTCCTATTCATACACGCATCCAGATGCCTTTTAAATGCTGTAATTGTACCAGCCTCCACCACTTCTTCTGGCAGTTCATTCCATATATGCACCACCCTCTGCAGAGTTGCCCCTCGGGTCCTTTTTAAATCTTTTCCCTCTCACCTTAAACCTATGCCCTCTAGTTTTGGACTCCCCCACCCCAGGGAAAAGACCTTGTCTATTTACCCTATCCATGGCCCTCATGATTTTACAAATCTCTATAAAGTCACCCCTCAGCCTTCAATGCTCCAGGGAAAATAGCCCCAGTCTATTTAGCTCAAACCCTCCAACCTTGGCAACATCCTTGCAAAACCTTTCTGAATCCTTTCAAGTTTTACAACATCCTTCATTTAGCAGGGTGACAAGAAGTGCACGCAGTATTCTAAAAGTGGCCTAACCAATGTCCTGTACAGCCACAACATGACCTCCCACCTCCTATACTCAATGCACTGACCAATAAAGGCAAACATTACAAACACCTTCTTCACTATCCTATCTGCCTGTGACTCCACTTTCAAGGAACTATGAAATTGCACTCCCAGGTCTCTTCATTCAGCAACACTCCCCAGGACCTTACCAACAAGTGTATAAGTCCTGCCCTGATTTGCCTTTCCAAAATGCAGCACCTCACATTTATCTAAATTAAACTGCATCTGCCACTCCTTGGCCCATTGGCCCATCTGATCAAGATCCTGTTATACTCTGAGGTAGCCTTCTTCACTGTGCACTGCACCTCCAATTTTGGTGTCACCTGCAAGCTTACTTACCATACCTCCTATGTTCACATCCAAATCATTTATATAAATGACGAAAAGCAGTGGATCCAGCTCCGATCCTTCTGACGCACTGCTGGTCACAAGCCTTCAGTCGAAAAAGCAGCCCTCCACCACTACCCTCTATCTTCTACCTTCGAGCCAGTTCTGTATTCCATGTGATCTGACCTTGCAAACCAGTCTACCATGAGGAACCTTGTTGAATGCCTTCCTGAAGCCCACGTAGAACATGTCCACTGCTCTGAATTGATTAATCCTCTTCATTACTTCTTCAAAAAACTGAATCAAGTTAGTGAGACATGACTTTCCATGCACAAAACCATATTGACTATCCCTAATCAGTCCTTGCCTTTCCAAATACATGTAAATCCTGTCGCTGATGTTCGGCTCACTAGTCTATAGTCCCCTGGCTCTTCCTTCAACCTCTAGTCTTGCGGCACCTCACCTGTGGCTTTCAATGATACAAAAATCTTAGCAAGGGGCCCAACAATCACTTCCCTAGCTTCCCACAGAGTTCTAGGGTACACCGGATCAGGTTCCAGGTATTTATCCACCTTTATGCGTTTTACGACATTCAGCACCTCCTCCTCTCTAATACGGACATTTTTCAAGCTATCGCTATTTATTTCTCCAAGTTCTATGTCTTCTATATCCTTCTCCACAGTAAATACTAATGTAAAATACTTGTTTAGTATCTCCCCCATCTCCTGCTGATCTTTAAGGGGCCCTATTTTCTCCCTAGTTACCCTTTTGTTCCTAATGTTTATAAAAATCCGTTTGGCTTCTCCTTAACCGTATTTGCCAAGGCTATCTCATGTCCCCTTTTTGCCCTCCTGATTTTCCTCTTAAGTACACTCCTACTGCTTTTGTACACATCCAAGATTCACTTGATCCCTGCTCTCCATACCTGACATATGCTTCCTTCTTTTTCTTGATCAAACCTCAATTCCTCTAGTCATCCAGCATTCCCTACACCCACCAGCCTTGCCCTTCACCCAAACAGGAACAAACTGTCTTTGGACTCTTGTTATCTCATTTTTGAAGGCTCCCTATTTTCCATCCATCCCTTTGCCTGTAAACATCCGCCACCAATCAACTTTTGAAAGCTGTTGCCTAATACTGTCAAAATTGGCCTTCCTCCAATTTAGAACTGTAACTTTTAGACCCTTCTATCCTTTTCCATCACTATTTTAAAGCTAATAGAATTATGGTCGCTGGTCTCAAAGTTCTCCCCAACTGTCACCTCAGTCATCTGCTCTGCCTTGTTTCCCAAGAGTATTTAATCATTTTTTATACTAATAAGGTGAACAGACAGGATAGAAAAAAAAACTATTTCTATGGAGTCCAGGGAGGAGTCACAGCATAGTCTGAAAATTAAAATGAACTTTTTGAAGAGGAGTTAGGTGCAAAAACCTTTGTTGAAGTGATGCAGAGTTTGAAAGTGTGAAGGCACTGCAAGGTGTATCCAAACCCTGCCACCTTTCCACCTCCTCCACAATTAGGTTCTTGATGGAAAAGTCAATTGTCAGTCTTTTCATCCTGCGACGAAATGAGACACTTAAGTGATCACGTAAAGGCCTTGGGATGAATCTAGCTGCAAACTGACTACAGAACAGCTACTACTCTGGAGGAGTAGGATTCCCCTGAATCAAAGGTAACCAGTGCCTGATCAGCAGGGAGTCCCTGTTGTAATCCATTTGCTTACTGTCTGTATCCTCTCCTCATTGCCCCAATCTGAAATCCCTTACATCCCACTCGCCTCACCTGCCTGTTATGGACCAGACCAGATCTCCTCAAAATGTGTTAAGAGAGTAGCATAGACCCTAACTTTTTCCTATTTTAAAGGTACATGTGAAGTTTGTATTCCAGATGTGATTAGGCTGGTCAAACTGCTCGGTGTTTAGCAAAACATAATTTATTTAAAGACTAAAGCTAAAATACAAAGAAAAGAAAGAGGAATTTAGAATAACTTAATTATTGGAAAACTTAACTGAATTATAGATACAGTACCTAATACTATTTAACTGTTTTAATATAGTAACATCCTATAAACACACCCCTTGGCAAAAAGGCAAATTCAGACACAAATTTTTATGTGCTGTTCTCCAATCCAGGAAGAACCAACATCGAGAGATTTCAGAGAAAGTAGCAGCTAGGAATCATTCATTGAAGCTTGTAACTCTTCTGCAACCCCAAACAGCTTCTGACTACTAAAGTTAAAAACCAAACTAGAAAGCCTGGTCTGTGAGAGCTGGCCACTTCCATTCAAACTGTTTCCATTGTTGAAAAAAAACCTAAAAGCCTCCTAAGTTTTTTTTTACTTAAGCCATCTTAGTAGCTGGTTCCGTACCTCTGCCATTACAACCTCTCTTCAAAAACACCCAGGACCAAATAACCTTTTTAAAGTGACAGCATTGACATACCTTTGCCCTGAGTTCCTTGTGATCCCGAGACTCCTGCTGGGAGGTGGAGTTTCTTTAATTTCTTCCCTGGTGCTGGTGAGATATTGATGTAAGCTCTCACTAGACTAGTCTATGTCTCTGGGGACCTGGGAAAGGCCTGCCTCACCATACTTATGGTTTTTTGTCTCTCATCACTCTTCCAGCCAACTGATAGGCCCCTGATCCTTCAAGAAGATTCTATCCGATAAACCACCTCGATAAACAAGACATTCTAGAGTTTGGAATTCTGTTTCACAAATGGCAATTGCAGCAAGAATCATTTTGAATATTAAATCTCGGCACCTGTTGTAAGACCAGTCTGACAGAGGTTTGGAAAAATGAATTTGTGCACTGTATACCAGTTGGCTTACCATAATCATGTGACTTCTATATCTGTTGTAAGCTTTCACTTCAGAATCAACAGCCATTAAAATGCCTGAAGCATGGCATCAGGAGCGTGAAGCTGAGATTAGATGAATCTCAGAGCTAGAAGGGAGCCAGCTCCTGTGAAAAACAGCAAGGAAGAATTAACTAAATTTAAAAAGGCAGCAACTTTGAATTGCTGGGTGAGTCAGAATGGCTGCGAACTTTCTATTCCCTTCTAGAATTGACTGGAGGTATGAGACAATTGGATTCCTTTTCCCACTCTCTGAGAAAACAAACTATGAAATAGTGACGCACAGAAATAAGAAGCCCAGGCAAATTAGAGTAGCAACACCGCTTATCAATGATTGGGCAAGAATTTTAATAGAGGGTGCTGTATTGCACTCTAAACCTCATTGAAAAGCATGGAACCCAGACAGGGGAGAATCTGAAGGTTATGAAATCATCCTTTGATCCTTGTATAAATATTACTGATGAATATTTTATGTTACCAAAATCAGAGCTGAGGAGAGATAGAGAGAATTTTGATCAGTATATGATGACACTGAAACATTGACACATCCTGAGCTGTTAGAAAACTGAAAGATGACCCCATCAAAGATAGAATTATCCAGCAATGTGAAAACAACACTCTAACAGCAACAAGCCGAATCATTTTGCATGCAAGTGTTTAGCTCGAAAGAAGCAATGCAAACCTATAAAGACAGATGTCTGTTGATGGTTCTGACAAATCATTCTTTATCTTACTAGAGGTTGGCATCATCAGAGAGAGAGGTAGTGCCAGAGATTAAACGAACAGGAGAGAGGAAGACATGGAGATCGTCACCAGCACCTAAACATGCAGGAGAGAGAGACCAATGCAAGCTCAACCGACATAAAGAGAAGAGGAAAAAGTCCAAAAGCAATATGACGGGAACACTGTGAGTTAATTGATTGTTAGGCATCTGCTGCTAAGGATTATGTGTCAACACCAATAATTTTTGAAAAGATAAACTTTCTAACTGGAACTGAGAGAAAAAGAAATTATGAACACAGGTGAGGGAGTTGATTTCTGAATAAGGATACTTTCTACTGATCTTCAGTTTTCAGTTAATAGCACAAGAGTAAATTTAAAGTAAGTTAAAGTAACTAAAGTTACAATAAGTAAAGTAACTATAAAATATAATTTAAGTTATAACATAAGTTGTGGCAGTGCAACTTGGCCAAGCAGAATGCCTGTCCTGTGGTATGTAGGTCATTGTGGACACATCTTATGACCTAGACAAGCCCATGTGCCCTAGGTTTGAGCTCCAGGTTTCAGAGCTCAAGCATCAGGTAGAGTTTTTTTAATTCATTCACAGGATGATGGTGTCACTGGCTGGGCAGCATTTATTGCCCATCTCTAATTGCACAGAGGGCAGTTAAGAATCAACCATATTGCTATGGGTCTGGAGTCAATGTAGGCCAGACAAGGTAAGGATGGCAGTTTCCTTCCCTAAGGGGCATTAATGAAACAGATGGGTTTTTAGACAATCACCAGTGCATTCATAGTCACGAGTAGACTCTTAATTCCAATTTTTTTTTATTGAGTTCAAATTCCACCATCTGCTGTGACTGGATTCAAACCCTATAATATTACTTAGATCTCTGGATAAAGAGTCCAGAAATATTGCTACTAGGCCATTGCTTCCCATTATTGAGTTACATCTGCAAGGGAGTGAACTATATGGGTAATATTCCACGTGGTGGTCACACCATAAGATAAAGGGTGAGCAAGCAGATAGGGAATGAACAACCACCAAGAGACACAAACAGGAATTGTCAAAGTCCTCAGATATCTCGTTCACTAAGTGCTTCTCTGTTCTCCATAGTGGTGAGGGCAGTATATCCTTGGAGGGCAGCAACAGCCAAGCCCATGGCACCTTGAGTAGCCCAGGTAAACAGGAGGACAGCAGGAAGATTGGAAGGGTAGATCATATGGGGGATTCTTTATTTAGGCAACATACAGGTACTTATGCAACAATGCTTGTGGCTCCATGTATGTTTCCTCCTACCATCCCCCCACCCCACCCCCACTCATTTCTAATGTCAAGGATGTCATTGCACAGTTGCAGGACAGAGCTTGTGGTTCACATTGGCACCTATCACATAGGTAGAAATGGGAATGTGATCCTGCATCAGAATTTAGGGAACTCATTGGAAAATTAATTAGCAGGACCTCAAATGTAGTAATTGCTGGATTATTCCCAGTTCCATATGCACTCTAGAACATAAACAGGGAGATAAAACAAACAAATGTCTGGCTGGTAAGATGGTGCAGGTGGGAGGGCTTTGGGGTTGTTGGGATTGGCTCTGAGAATGATGATACCTGTATACACGGATGAGTTGCTTCTGAACAGACCTGGGACTGAGTTCCTTGTGGGCTGCTCTGCTGGCGCAGTTGGGAAGGTTTAAACTAACTTAACAGGAATGTGGCAGAAGAGAATGTTAGAAAGTAATACCAGGATGTACAAATTTTGGAAGAAGCAGATAACACTATAATAGTTAAGTTAATCGGTAGAGTCTGTATAAGGGTGAAAGTAAAGAAATTTAAATCCGGATTATGGTGTTTGTATGTGAATTCAGAGTATACTTAGTAAGATGGAGGAGTTACAGGCACAGATTGTCTTGCAGGATTATGATATTGTGGATGATAACAGAGACCTGACACATGGAAGGGCAGGTCTGAATGTAAAATATTCTCAGAAGTCACGCGACACCAGGTTATAGTGACTTCACCTGATGAAGGAGCAGCGCTCCGAAATTTTGTGATTTCAAATAAACCTGTTGGGCTATCTCCTGATGTTGTGTAACTTCTAGCCTTGTCCACCCCAGTCCAACACCAGCACCTACACATCATGTTAAATATTCTCAGTTACAGGGTGTTACAAAAGATAGGAGAGGAAGTTAAAAGAGGAGTGGTGGAACTTCCGGTTGAGGAGGCTGTTGTCATATTAAAGAAGAAGATATTTCACAGACATCAAGGACAGAATCAATCTAGCTAAAGTTATGGGAAAAGAAAAGTGAAATTAATTTGTTCAGTGTACTTGATGGACAACCAACTCGTGGGAAGAATGTTAAGAAACAAACCTAAAGTGAAATTACACAAAGATGTAAACATCATAGAGTAGTTACAATGGGGGATTGTAATAACCTGTGGATAGGCTGGGATAGTGATATTGTAAAGGCAATGAGGGATAGGCATTGCTTGGCTATGTTCAGGATAATTTCCAACTTCAGTATGTATCCGGTCACTACTGCAGGCACTACTATACCTGGTTTCTGAGAATGAGGGGGAGAAATACATCAAGTGGTGATGCAAGGACATTTGGGACACAGTGATTATTGTATCATAAGGTTGAGGATAATGGAGGAAATGGCATTAGAAGAAGAATAACAAACTGGTTGGGAGCAGACTTCAATGGGACAAGACCAGAGCTGGGCCAGACAGACTGCAACCAAAAGTTGGCAGGAGAAACCGGACCTGAATAATGGGCTACTCCAAAGAGGAGGTGATGTCAGTTCAGGCGAGGTACATTCCCTCATAACAGGAATGTTAGGATAAACAAATCCAGAGGTCTTTCGATTGCAAAGAGAATGGAAATTCAGTTATAGATGAAAAAATGTGCTTACGACAACTGTCAGATGGTAAGTACAATTGAGAACCAAGCTGTGTATGGATGGTTCAGGAGAGAGGTGAAAAAGCAAATAAGCAAAGAAAGATTACAGTAAAAGACTGGCAATTAACATAAAAAGAAATCCCAAAGTCTTCTATAAACATATCAAATCTGAGATAGTGAAAATTTGGTTAAGCAAAGGAATCAAGGAACAGGGGCTAAAAGCAAGTGTATGCAGTTATATCACAGGTCAGCCATGAATCTCATTGAAAGGTGGAACAGGCTCGAGGGGCTGAATGGCATGCTCCTGTTCTTAAGCCCCTTTGTAAACATAAAAAGAAGGTAATTGATGGGGTAGCATCAATTAGGGATCAGAAAAAAGGGATTTACATAGAGACACACATAGAGGCTGAGGTGTTTGATGGATACTTCCCATTTGTCTTTACCAATGAGGCAGAGGCTGTCCAGGTCATGGTGACTAAGGAGGAAACTCCATCACGAGAACAATTTAAAATTGATAAGGTATAGGCATTGGATAAGCTTAAAGTTGATAATGCATCAGGCCCAGATGAGACATATCCGAGAATATTGAAGAAAGTGAGAATGGAAATTGCAGAGACACTGGTAGTAATCTTTCAATCTTCCCTAGATTTGGGGTTTGTGCAGAGGACTGGTAAATTTACAAATATTATGCCTTTGTTCAAAAATGTTGGTAAAGATAGACTGAAGAAATACAGATTAGTCAGTTTGGTAGCAAAAATGAGAAGGCAGATTATGATTTGAATGACTGAATTGGGAGAGGGGAATGTTCAGTGAGATTTGGTGTTCCTCATGCACCAGTCACTGAAAGTAAGTGCATAGGTACAGCAGGCAGTAAAGAAAGCCAACTGTATGTTGGCCTTCATTGCGAGAGGATTCAAGTACAGGAACAAAGATATCCTGCTATAGTTCTCCAGGGCATTGGTGAGGCCACACCTGGTATACCATGTGCAGTTTTTGTCTCTTTATCATTTTCTGTCCTTGCTACGTTCTTGATGTAGTGGGAGTGCTGTGAAAGTTTATCAAATTGATTCTTGGGATGGCAGGACTCACAAATGAGGAGATATTGACCTGGTTAAGGTGGTGTTCACTGGAGCTTAGAAGAATGATCCTCTCGGAAGGAGCGATCACAATATGGTCGAATTTAAAATACAGATGGAGCGTGAGAAGGTTAAATCCAATACCTATGTCCTGTGCTTAAACAAAGGAGACTATGAAGGAATGAGGATGGAGTTGGCTAAGGTAGAATGGGAGCAAAAACTTTATGGTGGGTCAATTGAGGAACAGTGGAGGACTTGCAAAACAATTTTTCAGTGCTCAGCAGAAGTATATTCCAGTGATAAGGAAGAACTGTAGGAAAAGAGAGAGCCAGCCATGGATGTCTAAGGAAATAAAGGAAAGTATCAGATTGGAAAAAAAACACATACAAAAAAGCAAAGAGTGGTGGGAAACTAGTAGACTGGGAAATCTTTAAAGGCCAACAGAAAGCCACAAAAAAAGTTATGAAGAAAAGTAAGATAGATTATGAGAGTAAACTAGCTCAGAATATAAAAACAGGCAGCAAAAGTTTCTATAAATATGTAAATCGTGAAAGAGTCGCAAAGGTAAACATTGGTCCTTTAGAGGATGAGAAGGCCAATTTAATAACTGGGAATGAGGAAATAGCCGAGACATTAAACAGTTATTTTGTGTTGGTCTTCACAGTGGAAGACACAAATAACATGCCGAAAACTAATAGCAAGAAGGTTATAGCAGGTGAGGACCTAGAAACTATCATTATCACGAAGGAGGCAGTGCTGGGCAAGCTAATGGGGCTAAAGGTAGACATGTCTCCTGGCCCTGATGGAATGCATCCCAGGGTACTAAAAGAGGTGATGGGGGACATAGCAAATGCACTAGTAATTATTTACCAAAATTCACTGGACTCTGGGGTGGTTCCTGCAGATTGGAAAACAGCCAATGTGACGCCACTGTTTAAAAAAGGAAGTAGACAAAAAGCAGGTAAATATAGACCAGTTAGCTTAACTTCGATAGTGGGGAAAATGCTTGAATCTATCATTTAAGGAAGAAATAGCAAGACATCTGGATATAAATTGTCCCATTGGGAACACCCAGCATGGGTTCATGAAGGGTAGGTCATGTTTAACTAATTTGGTGGAATTCTTTGAGGACATTAGTTGCATGGTGGACAATGGGGAACCTGTGGATGTGGTGTATCTGGATTTCCAGAAGGCATTTGACAAGGA